ATCTTACTGCAATTTGACAACACTTTTGTCCCTCAGCGGGCCGTCAAAGGACAAGCTCTAGCTGACTTTCTGGCCGATCACCCGATATCTACTGATTCCCCACTCAATGATGATCTACCTGATGAACTAATCATGGGTGTGGACGAGCAAGAGTCTCCTACTTGGGAGCTTTACTTTGACGGTGCGTCATCCGTTAAAGCCTTAAGTCCATATGAAACTCATACAGTTAGGATATGTTTAGGCCTAATTTTTGTATCCCCTGAAGGTCATACTCTACGGTAATCCTATAGTTTATCATAATCTCGTACTAACAATGAAGTTGAGTATGAAGCTCTGATTTTGGGGTTTGAGTTGGCCATTCAAATGATCATTACGCGAGTAAAAATATTTGAAGACTCCCAACTAATAATAAATCAAGTAGTTGGAGTCTATAAAGTACTTAAGTCTGAGCTCTTCTCCTATCATAATAAAGTAATGGAGTTATTGTGCTTAATACCAGAAGTACCTTTGGCCAAGATCCCTATATCTGAAAATGGAAAAGCAAACGCCTTGGCCAAGTTAGCAAAAGAATTAGCTGACCCTACTGGAAACTCCGTGTCTATTGTTGTCCAATATCGTCAAGCTCTGTGTCCCGCAGACTTGACTTCTCCTGATCAGACTCTCACAGTGTTTGTTGTTGATGAGTCAGATTGGAGAGTGCCCTTCATAGAATACTTGAAGCACGGTAGACTTCCGGATGATAGATCTCTCGCCGCTCAAATTAGAAAGATGGCTCTATCATTCACCTATGTAAATGATACCTTGTATCGACGCTCTTTTAACCAAATGTGCTTGTGTTGCCTTAATAAAGAAGATGCTCGTAAGGTTATGAGCGAGATACATGAAGGGCTTTGTGGTGAGAACCAATCCCTGAACATCTGAGTAAAATCATTCCATTTAATTTGCATGCCAGCGATTTCTTCAAATTTGTCTTGATACAGACCTCTCCACCACCTTTCTGCTTCTCCTTCTAGTGCAAAGGTTGCCAAGGAAACTTTCCTCTCTTCTGGACAGTTCATTCCTTCTAATATATTTTAAATCCTTAGCAACCAATTTTCAGCCTCTATTGATCCCTCTACTCCCTTGAATAATGGTGGTCTCATATCCTGAAAAAATTTCAAATACTTATTCATAACCATTCCACCACCACTACTACTCCTCGATGATTGATTTCTTGAATCTTGAATCAGCAGAGTCACAGCTGTCATCATTTGTGCCAGTACATCTGGATTAACATTAACATTTGGCACTGGTCTTTCCACTTACTCTACTTCTCTTCTCCCGGATCATTTTGATTCCAGTTATCAATAAGATATTCATTTTACATTAAATTTTTAAATCATTAATAATCATCCTAATGGATCTTCCAGTATGATTCATATCTTAATTGAACTCTGATACCAATTTTGTCACGACCCGGCCCGGCTGCTCAATCTAACGAGGCGAGTACGGAAGTCGGATGATATAATTCATTAAACATTATACCACTTCTTTTTCTCAAGAATGGCTATCCTGCAACCCCCAAACTGCCAAGCTACAAAACAACCCATCAATCATCCCAAAAGAGATGAGCAAATCCCACAAGGCAAACCACTAGCCAAGATACCACCAAGGTTGCCAGCTATCCAAGGCCCAGCCGGGGTAATGTAGAATTGCCTCAACATAGTCAATAAATTAATTTCAATTACTTTTTTTAGGCAAATACAAAAGATAGAAAAAAGCATGGGTGTCAAAACGAGTTTTCATGTCGGATACGGGTCCGACCCAAAATTGTCCAGCATCCAAACCCCCTAACCCAAACCCGACTCGAATTGCAAACCGGGTCAATTCCACAAACTCGAACCCGACCCGGGTCTAACCCGCGTCAACCCAACCCGACACGCCAGCCCGTTTGGGTTTGAAATTTTTTTCTCTGATTCATATTTTTTTTAATTCACCAAAGAAAACATCATTATATAGCTAACAAAAATACAAAACTTAGAAGATAATATGCTTCCAAATAATTAAAAAGATAAACAAAGATCATGTTTGTTACAAATATGCTTTTACTAATCCAAAATTTAAACGGGCAAATAGCAAGTGACGAAACTAAAACACGTGCAGGCGTGCCCTAAATAAACCTACCGCTATTATGTATAAACCGCGACATTCAGGTTGTATTTGGATCATCATCGGGTTTTCGGGTTGACCCAAACCCGACCCGAAACTAAAACTGGATTAGCTTTCTAAACAATAACCCGACCCGTATGTCAAACAGGTCAACCCAAACCCAAAATTTTCGGGTCGTGTCCGGGTTGTGTTCGGGTCATGTGGATAGAAATACCAATGAGAATATTCTCAATTAAGATAATCTATTACATAATAAAGACAATATTATTATTTACTTTATAATATAGTAAATATTTATGACAATGATAGTTAATTATTTTTCATTTAAATTGCACATTTCCATTTTTATGCTAACTAACCAATATTATCTACTACATCTAAAGCATATTAAGCTACGATACCAAATATAATGGAAGTCATCCAAGAGTCTACGATTTCTAATGTAAACCCATTATCAGATATACAAAATGATGCAATACAAAAAATTTCACGAGTCACAACTACTACAATAAAAATTATTTGTTACTTGTGATGGAAATAAAAATAGAAAGAAATTCAATACAAATGATAGTATAGTGATTTTATGCTAGAAACAATGCATAGAATTTTGAAACCACAAAAAGCATGCTACTTATCAAAAACCACACAGTAGAAATCAAGATTGAGTCAAACCTAAATAAAATCAATAACAACAACATCAAGCCTTTCTTTTAATGGCCAACATTCTGCACCATAAAGTATTACAGGTCTCACCACCGTCTTATAGAATTTTCCCTTAAGTTGAAGGGGACTTTCCTATCACATAACAAACCTAATGCATTCCTCCACTTCAACCATCCAACTTAAATTCTACTTGATTGACCTGAATAAAATCAATCAAACATTCAAATTAGTAACAAGATTTTAGAGGGAAAAAAGCAGACAATCACCAAATCTTAAAATCTCCTTTTTGATCAAGTAACTCTCAAAAATAGAATGAATAGCACATCAAACTATAAACAGCACATTTAGCGTTAAATCTCACATTTATTCTCCCATTTATCTTGCACGTTTCAAACCATTTTTATAATTAACAACTCACAAAATCTACATACTCCTAAAACTATTCAAACAAATAAACTAGAAATTATGCCACGCACTAATCAGCTAGGATGACTAATAAATAGAAAAAGACCTCGCTCACTGCTAAAACACCGGATCTCAACAACAGCTCTAAATGCCAAGATTAAAATTGTGAAACTAAATTGTGAAGTAGAAAGACAATTGCATGTAAAAAAAAAAACAATTACAATAAAATAGGATAAATGAAAAACCAATATACCTTTACATTGCCATAGAAGCTAAACAATCTCAGATATAGCCGAAACCAAGGATTTAGGACAAGGGATAAGATAGCTGCAGAAAAGGATTCAGGAAAAGGGATAGGATAACTACAGATACAATATATGGTCCCATCGCCAAAGAAGCCAACCAAAGTAAAAGTATGGTACAAACAAAGAATCTAAGGAAAATCAATTGAAGTTTAGGTCATCAGTACAAACCAACTCTCATATGAGAGTATATTATAGGCATGTAATGCTAAAATTAAAAAACTACAAAAAATTCTAAAACTACTTAAAAATAAATAAAATTTATATACTACAAAACAAAACAAAAATCATCTTTCAAGCAGCTCAACTTAGTTCACATAATTTGTATTTTCTACTATTATATTGAAATTTGCATCATAATTGTTTTCTTATAATATATAATGCAAACAGCTTGACCAATCCACACACTAAAAAACTTTAATTCACATTGTTGACGCCAAACACTTCTAACAACTGTATCTCTTACAATATCACATCAAAACTGCATTTTTTTCAACACATACATACGTTTCTGATAAAATGTCCCAAATATATTTGATTGAGCCAAGTACCCCAAGGATTAACCTATTTAACCTAGGTTGGCCCAACGTACAAAAATTTTGTCTAAGTTCAATACAGGTTTCAAAGTAGATGTCAAGTATTGGCATGGCATTTTAAGAATCGCTGAGACCATGATAAAGATCCCTTGACCTGTGACACTGTAGCTTTTTAAACCTAAGGAAATCACTTAATTTCCGATTCAATGAAATTCATTATGTCCATCAGATCGTATAATTTTCAAAGAAACAAGAAATACAGAGTATGTCAATCTTCAAACTGTCATTGGAGCAGCAATGCTAAAATATGCTGAAAACCAACAGGCTTGGCCATATTCTCATTTACAAGAGATGTAGCATCACACAAACAAGAAAAGCTAGGATGCTTCTAATTTCATTTCCACAGTTGGGACTTTAGCACTTCTTGCATGCCTATAAGATCATCTGAAGGGGTTTAAAAACCATGGATTAAAGGTAAATTTGCAATCATAAAAAAAAATAAAAAAAAAAATATAAGATAACAATACTAACTACAAGACAATGAGTTAATCTTCTCTCAGTCTCACATATTATGAAGTATGTGCAAGCAAAAAGGAGAAAGAAAAAGAAAATACTATTTAAACAATCAACAAATAGCATTAATAACAGTTGAACTTTAGCCACATTTCACTCAATCCTGCCATCAGTTTTATAACCTGACTCAGCCCCAGCCTCAGGTGAAATTGGAATCTACATGTTACTCAATCATGCCACAAACATCTTTTTGAGAATAGGCCCCTTCCAAAGACCATAATAAAGAGGGTAGGGCACTAGGGCTTATAGAATTGCAAAAATAATTTGAATAACTTTTACACATATCATATGAAAAACAAAATGCAGAAATGCAAATGAGCATAATATTTTCAAATATATAGAAATATTATCAGAACTCGGCATGGATACTCACAAGCTCCTCCCAATTTTCCTTGACTTCTTCTTTAGCATAAGCAAAACCATAACCAGGAAGATCAACCAAACAAAGCTTTGAGGCGAGCTTAAAAAAGTTGATGGTCTGAAATGAAAATGCAGGAGATAGATATTAGGTATAATATCCCGATATATGGTAAAAATTTTGTCTGAACATAAAAAATATATTGTACCTGAGTCAAGCCAGGCTTATCCGATACCCTCACCACACCCCATTGTCTGGTAAGTGCATTAAGCAATGATGACTTCCCAACATTTGACCTACCTAGTGTCGCAAAAGATTTTTATCTAGCCAATATTTGAATTCATAACACTAAAAAATTTCTTTCTTCAATCTAGTAGACAAGCAAAAGATTAAGGGAAATATTCAAAAATTTACTGTTAGTTCGTGCAAATCTAAAATTGACTTCCAGTTTTATAGGAACATAAACTAGATGATGGAAAATATAGATAAGCAAAACCCAACAGTATTGGCGAAGTAGAACTAAGATTAAACTTGTAATCATTCATACCTAATTCACAATGAAATATATTTCCACCCATACCTGCAAATGCTATCTCGGGAAGTGTTGGAGATGGGAAAGATGAGGACATCTTTGCAGCTGCGAAAAATTCCAACTTATTCCTAAACACCTAATAAAAATATTTTCAAACAAAAATTATGATCAATTAATAAAGACAAATATCAAGCAATGTTATTGAATAGCAGAATGGTGCAATTGCAACTACCACCATATGTATGTTTTATGAACCAAGATGTTCAAAGCATCACTGACGAACAATTATCATCGAAGTTCTTGCACCATCAATAAAAATGAGAGCTGAAAGTAAAAAAAAAAGGCACAAATTTATATTTTTAAAAAGAAACCTTACGTTATCTTCGATCTTTTCTCTATCTGTTGCAGTAGAAAATGGTGTGTTATCTAATGGGGCCGATAGCTTGACATTGTAGCCAGCATTTTGCAACTCGATCAACCGCCTGCGGCCCAGCAGCTAACAAAAAGTATAATAAAATGAATATGCTAATTTCAACATAATATAAGGTTCACCAGCCGGGAAAAAGCTAATGATTTTCAAAAGCATAATTGATAATTAATACATTTTCTTCCACGAAGGAGAGGATTCCAGCACTTGGTTGTATCGCACGAAACTGAGCATTCATTGAAACCACAGTTTCTTTCTCCACGGCTATGTCTGGATGGCAGACAGTCAAGACTATTAGATTCAATGAAAAGTGTACCACTTCAAATCGGAGCACTTCATGAGATAGATGAACCAAATGCCTCGGTTATATCATGCAAAATAACTTGCAATACAAATCTGCATGGCCATGGATCAAATATTTACTAAACTTAAAGAAAATCCTTGATGAACAACAAAATCTATGAAGCAGAAAGGGACAAGTAAGCAGAGGGATGAACTCATGTTTGAAGCTAGCAATATGAAGCAACCAATAGGAATCATATAGGACAGGTAAAGAATGTTCACAAAGATTACAAGAGAGAGCTAAAAGAACTTTCTAGATGATTGAAGTGAACATAAGTGACACTCATGCATTTTAGGACTGTTAAAAAAGCTTGAAACTCAGAATTTGCCTCAATTCGAAATCAACTTGACTCAATTTTGAGTTGAAATCAAGCTCCATTCCAGATTTGAAATATATTTCAAAACAATTTCGAGTTTGCCCCAACTCACTCATATATAGGTCAAGTTGGCTCCAAATAGGTCTAGAAATGATGATTTATATAAAATATAACATATGTATTGATAAATCATCTAAAATCAACTTGATCAAACATGAATATCAATGCATAGCTGAATTGGAAACTTACAATTTCAAATTCGGAACCATCCAAATATCGATATCAACAAATTTAAAGTTGAACCCAACGAGTCAAAAAGTTATCCAATCTGAGTCTGAATCTATGATGCACAGACACAGACACGAGTTTAGATTCAATAGAGCACAGATGCCTGAAAAATTCTACAGCTCGACCAAAGAAACACCACTTCACCACCGTCATTAGACCATCATCATAAGGTCGTCACCCGAGAGACAACATTGGATCACCCCCAAATAGCCATCGTTCATCTACAGTCCTCCGACCACTGTCATCCGACTAGGGCCCCTCAAACACCATCGTCCGGCTACAATCCTTTGAGCATCATTGCCCAAATATGATCCTCCAAATACCATCGTCCAACTACGATCTCCCGACCATTATTACCCAACTAATATCCTTTAACCATTACCACTCGACTACTATCCTCCGGCAACTATCACTCATCCATGGTCCTTCCTACCACGTCGCCTGACTAAGATTATCCGACCACAATAATTCGACAATAGTCATCCGAACATTGTCATCCACTTATGATCCTTCAACAACCATCACCCGTCAACGATCCTCCGACCATCATCACCCAACAACTATCCTTAGAGTTCAGATTACCGACGCTCAACTACAATCCTCCAACCTCCGCCACTCAACAACAGTCCTTCCAACCTCCATCGCCCGACAGCAGTAATTTTGACCGCTATCGCCCAACTATAATTGATGAGGACATCGACAGACGCTACCGACATGTTTATCGCCGGCGAAACCGCAGATCGACGGCCACGATTCAGCGCCTCTACTTTTGATTGAGATGACATTATGTATTTTATTATTGTCTTGTTTGATTTACTGTTTTCCCATTTTACCCCTGTGGGGAGTTATGTTTCTTTGTAGCCCAGAGGGCAATTTAGTCTTTTTCACTTTTATGAGTCAAGACCTATATATAGTAGTCTCTTGTATCATTTTGAGCTTAATGAATATTTGAATGAAATTTGTGTTTTATTTCTACTTCGTCTTGCATGAGTGCTTGAGAAGGAGGAGAAGCTCAAGGTGAGCAAATCGCAAGTTCTTCGGCGCCCTTTCTTTAGTGGTAACTTCCTTCATCGCTTGGATCTTCTATCTCCGCCAAAAGTCCACCAATCTTTGAGTGATACGGCCCCAAGGTGAAATTCTCGTTGTTAAAACGTTGGGTTTTGTTATTTGTACTCCGCATTTAATTCCCTTGGATTTTGAATGAACTATTTTGGTTAATCTCAAGTGCATCTCTTTGGCCTAAGCGAAGTTAACGTTTCTAATTCTTAACTTTATCTTGCATGATCCACATAAATTTATAATAAGCAAACTTTAACAATTCTCTTTTAATTTTGATCGTAACTCCTAGTAGTTTCACATCAATAATCCTCCGATCTCCACCCCATTATACTCCTTCGACCACCATCGCCCAACCATTGTCCTCCAAATACTATCATCTGATTATGATCATTTAATAATCGTCACTCGATTATGATCCTTTAATAATTGTCGCTCAATTATAATCCTCCAACTACCATTGCCCGAATATGATATCCTCAACCCACTATCACCCGACTATTGTCCTACAAACACTATCATCCCACTACGATCCACAAACTATAATTTTTTCTCAACTATGATTCTTCCGACCACTAACGTCCAACTATGGTACTCTGAATATCGTTGCACAATAATAGTTCTTCGAATGTTATCACTCAACTATAGTTCTCGAACTATGGTCCTTCGACCACCATCGTCTGATTATAGTTCTCCAACCTACAATCCTTTGACCATCGTTGCAATGCTATGATATGTTTTGCTAACTGTGTCACCTATTGTTGGTCATATAAATCAACTCTAGCTCCCAAGATCAACACCAAAATTTATGCTAGACCATCTTCCTTAAATTAGAATGACCAAACAAACATCAAATTACTCATGAAGGCATCTCTCATACAACAAAACTCTTCCAACCTCATAATTTATTCTATATAGTTTGTGTTTAAGATATTGTATAACACATTCACTAATTACAAGAAAGAGCATCACTTGTACCCGAAGATAGACACTCATTGAATCATTCCAACTGGGCTAAGCCACATGATTTTTCTCTCTTTACAGGCATTTCACATAAAACATTGATGTATTTTGCAACTCCTTTTTCATATATATGTTTGTGCCAGATCTCCACACAACGCTACAATAATAAACTCTCTAACTCTACCACCATGAAAATTCTAACACACAACATATATAATATGATACATGTGTACCATAAAACATAATATGTATATTTAGGTCTAAAATCAATTTTGAGTTTACTCGAAATAAAAATGATCTAAGCTCACTTGAACTCACATCATATTAACCCTAATGTTCTGACACATGACAAAAAATCATAGAGATTAGGTAGCATTTGCCTAGAAATATAACGCACGTACAACTAGTAATAAGCACAAAACATTGGTTAACAAGTTAAGTAATAATCAATTTTCATGGTTTTGACTCCTAATAGCAATGTTAAATCTACAAGAAAATGAATGCAAAAGAAGGTTTCAAGAAAATAGACATCACATGACAAAGAAAACATAAATGGGCTATAGTATCATTTGAAGGAATATCAATGGAAATAAATAAATAATCTAAAGAGATTAACACACCGACAGGAAATACTGACCACTTTTTGGAACACCGTCATCCAATCTTTTATTTGAAATATCATATGGGTCTATCTTGATAACTCGCCTCGTAGTCTTCTTGGAAACACTGGTCTCAGTTGAGCCTTTTTCCATGGCTTTTGTTTGAACTCTTATCTTTTTACCAGTTTTGTCCAGCACCCGAGTTGGCCTTCTAATGGGCTTTTGCTCAGAATTTTGATTTTCTCCATCTTTAGTAACTGCATGCTTCTCCAATTCTACAGATTCAGCATCGCATCTCGGGCTATCTTCAGCTAATTCAACGTCAAACTTTCGCCTTTTCAACCTAATCTTTCCAGCAGATGCTTCAGTTTTCATGCTCCTTTCTCTTCTTCTATAGAAATCCCCGCCATTATGTTCATAATCAGAAAAATCTTCATCAGCAACTTTTCGCATTGCTCTAAGAGGTTTCCCTGCAAACAATCTCGCATCACCAGCTTTACCCTTTTTAGCAGCATCGACATCCTTACCCCGTTCCTTTCGCACCCCAAAAAAAGACTTCCTTTCCCTCCCTACATCCTTAGAAACAACAGATCTCCTCATTCTCCAACTAGAAAGCTCAGAATCATTTTCTTCCCTTCTCGCAAATCTTTTCTCACTCTGCTTGATACTCGACCGCAAGTTTCTTCCTTTCACGCTCATATTAGGTAAGTGAGCTAGTTCTTCCACTCTTGCAAAAACCTCACCATCAGAATCTTCCATGTTATATCTACCTCCGTGTCCTTTCGCACCTACAATGTTCTTATTCCTCCTCCTATCAGCATATTTATCGACAACCCTTCTCTTCATGCGAATTCCGACTGCCATTCTATGAGCAACACATAACCAATAAATAGGATAATGAGAAACAATGGCATGTAAAGAACAAAAACTAACAACGCAATTTATGTGCAAAATCTGTCATAGATCACAGATTAACAACAGGAATAATAGATTACAAGCTGAAAGATTTAGAAATGAGAAAACTTGAGCATTGGGTGGGGTAATTAGGAGCCCAACCAAGTTATTTTCCTGTCTTTCTGAATCGCGAAGTAGGGAAAGCAACCAGCAGCCTAGAAAGGATTGTGGTATACCTTCGCTTCAATTCTCTGCTTCTCTCTCTCTCTCTCTCTTCTCAGAGCACCGCGTTCTCTAAACCCTAAAATCCAAGCGTCCTCGGCTCGCAGCAGGCCGTTTACTAAATTATTTTGCCTTATTTCAATTGCAATTATATTTCCTTCCTAAAATAGTCAATCTTTTTTTATATAAGATATTTAATTCAATTAAAATAAATTCATACACAAATCATAAATATAAAACTCAAACTCAAAAATTTTTTAACTGATAACTAAGGTTTCGTTTGGGACAGTTTTCTTACTGCTTCTTCAGACAGCTTTTTAGTAAAAAAATTTATTAAAAAATTGTTTTAAGAAGCGGTAAGAAAACCTTTCCAAGGCTTCGCCTTGGATGACTTTCTTGTTGCTTCTTAAAACAACTTTGTATTACAAAAATTATAATTTATATACTAAAAAACTGCTTTAAAAAATAGTAAGAAAGTCGTCCCAAATGAGACATAAGACTTCATTTGGGACATCTTTTTTTTTCTTAACATCTTATTTACATATCTAACACCCAAAATTTTAATATTACATGCATACCACCCAATATTATTTTAATATCAAATATATCACTTATATTTCTTTCCTACCACTCATATATTTCATTTCTACCACTCTTATTTCATATGAAAATAAACTATGGGTGATATGTATGTAATATTAAAGTTTTAGATATTAAATATGTAAATAGAATAGTATTAGGTGGTATATATATGTAAATCTCTAAAAAAAAAATGTACTAAAAAAATATTTTAGAAAGCAAGAAGAAAGCCGTCCCAAACGAAGCCTAAGTTATACTCCCAATCTTTCTATGTTGGGCGATGGAGGCGGAACAAGTTTTCTTACTAAAGGGGTCATGTTCTAAGGTTTATTGCAAATAAAATTGAACTAATCAATGGCTTTCCAAACCATGGAGCTGAAGTCCTTTGAATAGAGAAGCCACTTCCTATTTCCACTTGTGCTGACGACAAGAATAATATAGAAAAAAAAAAATTAATCCTTATGTAAAAAATAAATTATATTACACATACAAATTTCTACTCATAAAAACGTTATTTTTCATGATATAATTATAAAATGCTTAATATTTTATTGTATTATGTCAAGATTATTCATGAAACTGGGCATAGAAGGTTTTTGTTGCTCAGTTTGATGGAATTACAATGAAAATAAGATTATTGGTTTGCATTTTTAACATGATATCTTAATAGAGCGTTGCATTAAATAGTTGAGGGATGAAGTTCAACTTCTTGCTCGTGGTTCGAATTTGACCAATCTTGTATAATGTACAATAAAATCTTAATTTGATTCTTCTCACTTAGGCTTTATTTGGGACAGCTTTCTTACTGTTTTGTAAATCAACTTTTAAGTATAAAAAATATTTGAACTGAAATTTTTCGTACTAGAAAATTACTTTAAAAAGTAATAAGAAAGCAGGCCCAAACGAAGCCTTACTTTTTAGGTAGAAAACACTCCAATAAGTTGGAGACATGTATAATCCAATTCTGAATGAATATATTAGCGATCTTTTGCATTATTAATTCTTGGGAAAAATAAGGTTTCGTTTGGGATAGCTTTTGGCCACTATTTTTTTGCTGCTTTTAAAAAATTTTGTCTTAGAAAACAGTAAGAAAACTGTTTCAAATGAAGTCTAAATCATGCAATGGATAAGTCACTAAGAAGTTTAAGAGTAAAATTTTATTCAAGTATGATTTCAAAAGATTACATGTTATCACACTTATTAAAGGCATTTCCTTTGATTTTTTAGAGAAATCATAAAACTATTCAAAATTTATAAACTTGGTAGTGGTGAGACAAATGTATGTAAATAGTGTGGTGTCAAAGGAATTTTAGATAAGCAAGTTATATTATTCTCTCTCATTCATAGTGATCATTGAACCCTTCTAATTGGGTATATTAATGAAAAATTTTGACTTTTCTTTTCTCTTTTAAACCCCTCGTAGAAAGCCATCTTGTCACAACTAGTAAGTTTTTCGTTTGGATAATTTCATTACTGCTTTCTAAAGTAATTTTTAAGTACAAAAATTATTGCAAGCAGCTAAAAAACTGTGGACAAACATTGTCCCAAAAGAAACCTAAATCTCTAACTTATATGCCTTTATCAATTAATGTCAATGGAATATTTCAACCAAAATTTGGATGTCTCAACTTTGCTATGTAATCACACCATTTATAGCAATGCAATAATTAACATTATAAAGGATCTCTTTATGTTTTGAATGATGTAGCCTTTAGTTGTGTACTTGGGTTAATTCGATGGTTGTGTGAAAGTCAAATGCATGTGTACTAATAAGAAATCTTTATGTATAAAATACATAAGAGATGGCTCTCTTCTCAAGCTACAATTAATTTTGTTGAAATATGTATGTACATACTTCAACTGTCACATTTTTGTTGAAGTATGCAGATGTGTAATTGAGAAAACAAGCAATCTCTTTAAATAAAATACTAAGTATTTGGCCTTGTGCTTCACTTATAATGTACTTTGTTAAATTATATAGATGTGTAATTCAACCATAATATCTCTTGTTGAAGTATAATTGAAGTATATAGCTAATATAATTGAGAGAACAAGCAAGCTCTCCATAATGAATTTTGGTGAAATAATAATCAATTAAAACCACATAGCTGATATATGTCAAATATAAATTTATTCATAATATGAATGGAGGCTTAAATTTTATTTAGAGTAATATAATAATGAATCATCCTATTTATTTACAATCTTTTAATATTATCCTCTATGTTAATAATATATAGCAGCATCTTTGTGTACCCTCATTTAGGAAGAGAGATTACTGGTCTACTAAGAAATTTATGTATAAAACACTTTATCATGTATGAACATAGCTTCTCATCTATAGTAGGGAGCTCCTAGAGTCATACATAGCTCATGAATCCTTGGGGTCAACATTTAATTTACCCTTATGCTACTTAAGCCTAATCTACAACAATAAAAACAACATCAAGCCTTTATCCCACTATTTGGGGTCGACTATATGAATCTTTTTTCTCCATTGTGTCTTGTTAAGAGTTAAATTATTATTTAAATATAATAAATAAATGTCTTTTCTACTATTGTCCAAGTCTTTTTGGGTCTACCTAACAACCTCTATCTTTCTTAATATAAGTCAAATATAATATACTTACTTTCCTAACTAGGTCATTGGAAGGCCACCATTTTATGTGACCAAATCATCTAAAGTGACTCTCTCTATTCTTATGTTCCACTGAAGTTACTCCAACTTTTCACGTATATGCTCATTTCATATCCTATCTCTAAGAGTAAAGCTACTCATCCACCTGAGCATTCTCATCTCTACAACACTTAATGTAATATTATGCTTCTCTTTTAATGGCCAAAATTCTGCACCATAAAAATATTGCAAGTCTAACCACCATCTTATAGAATTTTACATTCAATTGATGGGGACTTTTCTATCACACAACAAACTAGATGCATTCCTCTACTTCAACCATCAAACTTAAATTCTATTAATAATATATCTATCTATTTCATCATCACTCTGAACAATAGATCTAAGACATCGCAAACGTGTACTCTTATTAATGACTTCATCACCCAAAGTCACAATCCCCCCATTATATCTATTATTACTAAAATTACACTTCATATATTCAGTATTAGATCTATTCAAACGAAAGCCTTTAGACTCTAAGGTTAACCTCCATAATTCAAGTTGACCAATATTGACCCAAACACTAAACTTAACTCCTTAGGTAAACTAGCTATCCATTTAGCCAAATTGACTCCCTACTTTCCTTAATAGTTACACTAGGTTCAAACACATTGATTTGATTAAACCATGCAGCTCGACTCAATCAAATAAGCTAACTTAATGTTAATTTAAGTCAAATTGACTTTTGTAATAACCCAAGCTCAAATTAAGTCGCCTAAAGCTCGATTAAGCTTATATTGAACTTCCTTAAATCAATCCATCAAACATAATTAGTTTATGCTAATCCTTATTAGACTTTCTAGCTAAGGCAAGCGATGAATATTCCCTTCTAATGGCTTTTCCTCCTAGAGTAAAAACTACATTTCTGAGGTCTTATCCTAACTAGCAAAAATCCATTAGATAAGATCTAACTGTTGCTCCTACTAAAGGTTGAGAATTAACCTTATTCTAGATTCAAGAGGCATGAGGAGTGAAATTAAACATAGGCATGAAAACTCAACTTGTCTAACAAAAACCTCCTTTGAGTTATTTGAATGTATCTTAAATTTTTCTCAAGCTCTCTACCTCCTTCGAACCTCTCAAAGAATAAATTTGGAAAAGATTGAAATATGTTTGTATTGACAAAGCAATTATGGCCAAATCATGCTATGGAGCTGCATACCAAAGCTTCATATTGTCTCCCTCAACCTCTCTAATTGATTTGGCCATCAAACATTGCTTTGGAGAGGTAAATCTACCCTTTATTAATCTATGCCTCTTCTTTGATTAACTGATACAATCATATATAACAAAATTCTATTATTATTTATCCCATTTTTATAATTCTAATTAAAACTCAATATTTTTAGAATTAATATATCATACATTAAAACTCACAAAAAATGTAAACTCAAGTTTTACAAATTTCTAAAATTATATAGCCTTAACAAAATGCCTTAAAATGGTTTTAGGATCTATTTTTCTCAAATTTCCTAAAATTTAAACAATTTCTAAAAGTACAAATGGACTCCAAACTTGGTGGCCTTTATCCCTAGGCCCTTAGCCTATGTACAAAGTTTCATTACTAGAACATCTAGTTTATCATTTGGTCTTCCATAAGTTTCATGAAGTCAAACCCATGTTAAATTAGTTCAACCATGGCCTCTTTAGGTCGAGTAGATCACCCTAGCTATCCTAAATTCTTCATGAACCCTTAGGCAGCCTTAGATTAATATAAATTAGCCTTAGGTGGCTCAAACCCTTAGCTCTCCATGAAACCCCCTAGATTTATTTACTTGACTCAATCATGAAATCCACCTTAAATTCTAAACTAAGCAAAATACCATAGGTAACTAGGCTAACAACCAGACCATAATAAGCCT